CACCTTGTTGTGATTATTTCTTGTACTCCTCACCTGAGGATAAGTTTTATTGATTTGCAGAGAATTTGAAGGGAGAGAGAACTATCAATGTGAGAGAGAAACATTGATTGGTTGCCTCTGGCAGGTGCCCTGACGGGGGATCAAACCCACAACCTAGGTATGCGCCATGACTAGGAATTGAAACCATGACCTTCTGGCATATGGGACAACACTCAACCACACAGCCAGGACACTGGTAACATTTTTTACCTTAAATTGTATGGGCCCTTGTAATAACTAGTGTTGCCTCTTCATTCTTGGTCTCTATGATTGCCTCTCTCACAAATACTTTATAGTCCATAATCTTTCTTGTTGTCTTCTCACCCTGGTGTGTCATAATTCGGTGACTCTGTCTTTGAATTGTTCTGTGTTTGCTTGCTCATCCATGGTGACCTTGTTTGAGCCTTGTTTAGTTTATTTGCTGCCTGACAATACATACCATGCCTTTATATATATTCAATTTATTGACTTTAGTCATCACTGTTGCCTTACAGACCCAAAAAGCACCCCAAAAGGTGTACACCAAGGTCACCTCTAAAAGGTGAATGCCCTTCTCACTAAAGGAGAGAAGGTATTTCAGGGCTGTGGGGGCTCAATCTTCCTATTCCCTATCCAGCCTCCCTCTTTGGCCATGTTCTTCCTCCCTCCCTCCCTCACATCTGTTAACTCCTACTGAATTGTGGGTGACCTCAGTATAATGAGTTACAAGATGATAAATAACTTAAATTGAATATTATGGGTATATTATCAAGAAAATGTATATAAACTTTATCTACAAATATACCAAGGATTACCCATTACCATTTCAGAGTCTTAAACTAATACTGTAGAAAAAAATGTATTTTACCATGACCTAAAATATTTAAAGCATGGTCCTTAGATCTGCTTAAAAGAATGAAAAAAAGCACTGGATTAGGAATCAAAAGATGTGATATCTATTTTGACCCAACTATCAGTAAACATTAGGCAAATCCATCCTGTCTGTGAGCCTCTCTCGTCCATCTCACAGACTGACAAAAGGTAAGAAGACCCTGCACCTAAAGGAAAAGGGCAGCCTCTTTGCCCTGGGAGAGCCCACTCCATTCCTGGGCTAGCTGCCCCATGCACGTCTGGCCCAGCAATTAGGTGTTTGTCCACTAGGAGTTTGTTGTGATTTTGCCAGTTGGGTTCTTGTAATGACATAATGTAATATGAAATTTGTAAATTGATGAAATGAAAATATAAAAGGGCAGCTTTATGTCTGTGACAAATAAGTGAAAAGTGCTGGGGACTTGGTTAAGGTGAATGTTACTAAAGAAACACACAGATGTATTATAATAAATGTGGGCTAGGTATTTGTATAAGACTGGATACAACGTTTAGAAGGATTCACTTCACAGGCATTTTGGACTCTGTCAAATATGAGGCCATTTTAAACAAACTAAAAACAGGAAGTCTTTGTATTTACTGAGATGGGTTGAATTTGAAATGCGAATTTGCTGGAGGGCCAGCTTGTGGTACATTTTCATAGGTACTTATTTTTTTAAGTTTTTAGTTCCCTCTGTTTTGCTCATTCCCACTTATGGTTGTGGAGTAGTATTGCTTCATATTATTCTTATGCTAATAGTACTGTTCTTTGGGGTCCCACCTTTTAAATTTGAGGCCTCTGACTCCAAAGTTTAGCAAGCCCAAAGATTTTATGTTTGTCTTCTTGTCTAAAAAAACCTATCAAAACAGAATTTCAAAATTTTCCAATCAGGAAAAAATTTCAGGGCAAGAGTGGCTTCTTTCCTACACATACTTCTCTAGGGCCCTACTTTCCCTGAAAACTTGGCCTGGCAATCTCTCTTTAGTTTTTCAGCTCTTTGATGATACTTCAATTATATTCCAACAAACACTTTGTTCTCAGCAGGAAATAAAGTTTCTTTATAACCTGGCCTACAAAACATGCTATAGACTTCCCACAAGCCTCTTATGATTCTTGCCAAAAAACCAAATTGGCTTTTGAAATGGACACGGCCCTCTGGAAGAGGTTGGTAAGGGGAAGGCTCAGATTGCCATAACACACACTGCTCCTAAAGTAAACCTCAAGTCACTGGGTTCCTTTGCATTACCCTATTCTGCCTCCAGCCGGCTAAAAGACCTTACAAATTTTAGGTGCCCAAATTGTTGGTAGGTAATGATTCTATTTCACTTCTATTTCGTGATTCTTTTTCTTACCTTGTCAGTATTTTGAGAAAGCTAAATTTATATATATCAACTATCGATAATACAGTTCTTTCCAATAATCCTTCATGCGATGATAGAACTGCCATGTGGGACTATTATACACTTGATATGTAGCCAGTGGGATTGAGAAATTGAATTTTTAATTAATTTTGTTCTAATTAATTTAAATAACTGCATGTGGCTAGTGCCTGCCATAGTGGACAGTGCAGATTCTCAGACAAACTTCTGTATGATACTTCAGGATAAATATTAGCTATACAAGAAGGTTTCATAAAAATACTTTTGTAAGCATGGTAGTACCCCAAACACTAGAGACAATCCTACTTTTTTGTTTTTGGTCTTTGTTGTGATACTCTGATGAGGGCATACATAGAGTGAGGGACACAAAAGGTGAAGAAATTTTGCCTTTTTGAGATTACAGGATGGATCATTTATTAATCTACTGATCCCTTAACAGCCATCACCTGCACATCTAGCACATCCCACTTGGCACTGGACCTCAGGAGGAAAGCAAAACAAGGTTCCTGCTCTTGTGAAGTTTGCAGTCTAGTTGGGGAAACAGACAGTCAACATACAATATATACGATTAATATGCAATTTTATATGATACGATTTTAAATAGAGACAAGTGCTACAAAGATGATGAACATCTCCATACTTTCTTTTTTCTGGATGTTTTTAATTTGGGAAAGCATCCAAGTCCAAGGTTCTCAAAAACTTACTAAAGGCTTAGTAATTAACTCTTGGGCAACTTTGTTAATCTAACATTATCTCACTTCAACAAGGCAAATGAACTTGTGGGTGTTTATTAGCTAAGAAAAGAGTTTCTGTTTGTTTTGTAGTTTACCTCTTGGCCCATTCAGGGAGACCAAACATATAAGGTTAGTGGAAGAAACTTTTCTCTGAAGTCACAGATTTATCAAATTATTGATATTTTTCCCTATGTAAAAGAGCTTAGAAATATTCTAGACCAACCCCTTATTTTACAAATGAGTAAATAGGCTTAAGAAACAAATTTATTGGACGTGAATATGCACTTGCTGTCATAGCCCCAGGTTTCACCAGTGTTATATTGACTACATTACACCAACTTCAAAGTAACCCAAATTGTTCTGGTTTCTCAAAGTTCTTAGACAATTCATTTTCTGGAATCAATTAATTTGAGATTTTAATGTTTTCATGATAACAAACATTTAGTACAATTTCATAAACTTGACATGCAGATCTCATGTCTCACCATACATCCTTCCATACTCCAGGGTCTACACACAATGTTTCTCCAACTCTGAGCTCCTATCAGAATGCACTTCCTCCTTAATATCTGCTTACTTACCCTAAATGTCTACTGAAAGCTACATCTTGCACCAGAACTGTCCTCAAACTTAACCAGAAGAGGACAATAGCTCTTTGTATTTCTCCTAAGGATTTTGTACTCTGCCTTACACTGCAGTAGGAATGACTGCACTGGATGTAAGAAACTTGGGAACCAGTGCCACATAGTTCTAACTTTTTTGGCTCTTGTCCCTCCTTGCAATCAATAGATATTTAAACTAAAACAAATGCCCATTGAGGCTAAATTTTCCATAAGGTTTTTCTTGAGGCAGTTGCTAAGTGTTTGAAAAAGCTAGGATAAAGAGACAGACATGAGTGGGATGAATTGCTTTATAGAGAGCCTTGGTTTCAGGACATTTTGTCTTTTCTGGGTGATTTTTCTCTTTTATTTTTTAAAGTCCTCATCTATTCAGTATAATTGGCCCAGATATAGCGCGCGCGTGCACACACACACACACACACACACACACACATTATTTGTAGTGTAAGAACCTACAGAGATAAATTTAAGAGCTATAGGAAACATTAGAGAAAACAAGAAAGGTCATATAAATACTTGCCTGGATTCATTTTGTTGCAATTTAAATTCCTCCTCCAATTTTCATAAATAAATGTACCGACAGGAAAATATCAGAAACATAAAAATCACTTTATCATTTACCAGTTCAAAGTAAAAAAAAACAAAAAAGAGATTTGACCAATTGACAATCCTCTGCAAAGCTCTTAAGCAATTACTCTAGGCCCAAATTTCATTGAAAACTTTCCCCAAGACCACTGTAATCTGACCACATCCATATTTTAATACTGCTTCTGCTAAGTTGTACGGTTCTGTGTTTTCTCTACTTTGCTGTAAACCTCTCAAGCTCTTTCTAAGAAAACGTGTTACGTGGTCCAACCTGGTGAATGATTATCAATGAAAACCGCATCAAGTACTGTGGAATGGAGATGAAAAAAGTATCAATTGTGTACTCCTAAAAGAAATGATGACAGTAGGGAAGGAAAAAAGGTCATGAGTAAAGCCCAGCAAAAGCACAAAGGTCCAGTCAGCATCCACGGCGAGAGAAGCCGGCGGCCTGGCTCCAGAGCCCTCCGGGTTCGGCTGCGAGGAGAGGGGCAAGCTGACAGCTGCTCCTTCGAAAAAGTGTGCGTGTGTCAGCGCACGAATCTTTAACACCGCCCGCAGGGTCTGGGCACTCGTCACAACCCTTGATCGCCTGGTCAGCAAACAACAGCTGATCTGGCACCCTCCCACTTACTAGACTGTCCACGCCTACAAACAGCCGCTAGTTTCAGGCAGACCGGAAGCCCTTTTGCCCCTACTCGCGGGTCTACTTACTACGCTGGTCACAACCGGAAGCTCCTCTGCCCCGATCTTCGGTCGCGTCATCGCCGGCCGCACAGGCGCAGTGGAGCTCAGGACGAGTTGTGGGAGGGGAAAAGGAAGAGGCGGAGGGGGGCGGGGCCGTCCCAGAAGATGGCGGAGGCGGGGGTGAGTTGGGGTCCCCCTGCGAAGCGCCCGTGCCTCGGTGCTGAGGAAAGTGGTCTGAGGAAGTGGGTGGCCTTCGGGAAGAGGAAGTGCTGGTGATTCTGCATCCTAGGAACCCTGCCGGCAAGTGCGGGAGCCAGGACTGCGGATGGGGCCTGAAGGGCGAGGGGTTCCGCTCACCTGAAGAAGGGTTGGCGAGGTCCGGAAGGGGACGGCGGGGTCGCGGAGGGGTCTTAGGAGAGGCCGAGGCCCTCCTGACACTGGGAGACTGTTCGAGAGGGAAGAAGGCTGGAGGACGGCGGGACAGGCGACCCTGGAGAGCCGACGGGGGCGGAGGTCGGCGAGCTGTCCAGCATGGAGCTGTCAGGATTGGGGAGGCTTGTAACCACGGAGACCCAGGCGTGGGAGGGTGGTGGGTCCCAAAAGGTGGGCATGGCAGGAAGTGTAGAAGTCACAAGAAGCTGTGTTGATTTGGATGGAGGAGTGGGACTTGAGCATCTGGGCTGGAATCGGAAGCCTTTGGAGATGGTGTGTGGGTATGCCAGAGAACTCTTGTCCAGACCTGGAAGTCGTTGGTGGTAACTCTCACCGCGGGGTGTAAGAGTTGGTCAATGGGGTTTAGCAATCCGGAAAAGGAAAGCGGTGTGGATGACGGGGGGCAGGGAGGTGGTGCTAAAAAAGTGACCAGGACCCACGTCCTGTTAGTGTTGGAACAAAAAGTTACTGAAGTATGGTGTTAGCCAGATAGTCTAGGAAAATATACCTTGAAGAGCTTGCTGTGGTGTAGGCTTGATGAAGAAATGCTTTGGAAGGAATGGATGGACTTGGCAGCGGTAACTGGCCAGGATCAACACTGCAGGGCAGCGGAGGATTGCTCGGAAGAGACTCCCCCGTCCTGGGTGCAGGAGGAATGAAGGCGGCCAAGCCGAGGCTAGACTGTGTTCTCCGGCTTCTGGGTTTGGCCTTGATAGCAAACCACTTTGTGAAAATGAACGAAGAGAGTTCGGCCGCTAATGGGGTTCCCACAGAAGAAAAAGTAGCCATTATTCTTTCTATTTTCTGGACTTTGTGTTGTGTAGTGTGTTTTGTTCGAGTTCCCAGTAGATATCTGATATAAAGTGACCAAGCTGTGAATCTTGTACATTTGGGTACAGGTTGATTCTTTTTAAACTGACAACTGTTGCTGTTCCATATGGTGGGCTGAAAAGGAAAGGATACAACGTGATTCAGTAGTTTAAGGACAACTTGTGTTTATTGTTATTAGAACATTATAATCAGCAGGCCTTTTTAGAGACTGAGATTTGACATTTAAAAGCAGTAATGGGATGTGAATGCTGCTTGCTTAATAGTTCCTGTGTTTGGGTTTTAATGTTGAGAGGAAAGGTGAGTTTCTAAGTGTTTTCAAGGCAAATGGTTTTCTTCCTGGAAGACTTCAGCTAATGACTCTTATATTTATATTTAAATATAAGTGTGTGCTTATATTTAAGGAGAGTTAAACTTTTTCATTGATTTAAGTGTGTTTTTCTTAATGTAAATGTTTATTCTATGTTGAGAATGCCATTCTAAGTAAGAGAACAGATGAATAACAAAGATGTGAGGAGGTATTATAATTGAGTTTATTATTTAGTAGCCTGTGTGACCTAAGCACCTGAAGCCACAGGTTAATCAGAGGAAGCAAACATGCTGTCTGATTGGGTGATGAATGGCCTTGTTTGGTTGTAATTGTGAGAATGAAAATGGCTCTTAAGGTCTCTAGGAGATTTTATTTGTGTGTGTGTTTTCAGTTGCCTATTGCCCGAAACTGTTTCAGTGGCAAATAATCAACTTTGATTTTCGTTCACAAAGCCCAGGATCACTTCTAATCCTCTTTTATTCATCTAGAAGTAATATTAATCCACTAACAGGTAGTCGTATGTCTTTTCAGTTTTGATGACTTGTTATTTATCTATCCAAAAATATTTGCATTATGTTGTTCATGTCCTTTGGAAGTTTTTTTCTTTGTCAGTTGTTGAAATAAAAAGCTTATTTTGGTATTAACAGTTTATCAACATGACTCTAAGAAATGTATCTTCTGTGGCACTTAGTTATTCGTGTATAGCGTTTGTAGATGGAGGCCTTGGAGTGAACTGAGAAGTGCTGGGGATACTTATTACATGAGCTTTCACTTTAAAACAACCCATTCCCCTAGTGTATGGTTAATATTATAATCAAATGCCTTTTTAGTAATTTTAAGTGTTCCACAGTAGGGAATGAATGGTCTAGTGGAATTTCTTATGCTTTGAAGAGTCTGGCCATTTCCACGAGTTCACTTTACGTGTTTATGGTAGCAGGATCCAGGGGAACAGTCTTTTTTTTTTAAAATATATTTTATTGATTTTTATACAGAGAGAAAGGGAGAGAGATAGAGAGCCAGAAACATCAATGAGAGAGAGAGTCATCGATCAGCTGCCTCCTGCACACCCCCCACTTACTAGAATGCCCGCAACCAAGGTACATGCCCTTGACTGGAATCGAACCCAGGACCCTTCAGTCCCCAAGCCGACGCTCTATCCATTGAGCCAAACCGGTCCCGGCCATGGGAACAGTCTTGATCTTGCACTTCACTTGCCCACACTGGGTGTCATTTGCTTCTCCAGTAAGAGGAGAGAACAGCTAGATCACTCACTGCCTCTTAACTTTTTTTGGTTCGTGGACATTTTGAGTACTTGATGTACACTGTGGAACTCTCTTCCCAGAAAATACACATATGCACACTTTTTTTTATTTTTTTTGCATTAGGTTCACATATCCCTGGGAAGAGATGATCTCCAATTTCCCTGCCATTTTTTAAATTTTAGGATACTGTGATTCTCAAGCACTTTAACTTTTATTTTTGCCTATAGTAAATATGTACTATTGTATTATTATGTAGTCACAAATTTAGATTTTTGGACTTGTAAAAATTAGCTTAAAAAACTCATTCAAATAAACATCAAACAAATGTCATGTTATTTTTAAAGAGAACTATTGGGGTGAAATAGGAAGCTATAAACCAGCACTACCAGGAAAGCTTGAATAAACAGCTGTGGTAGCGTAAGGTAAACAGTTTAGAAAGTCTAAGGCAGCCTTGACAGAGAATGAAAGAGTCTCCAACAATCAGCGGCTCTCAGGGAGAGCATTGTCTCTCTGGGGGCATGTGGAAATGTGGAGGGGCATTTTTAATTGTCTCAAATTAGGGAGAGAGCATGTAGTGGCATTTAGTGGGCATGAGCCAGGGAAGTGTTTTGCAATGCTTAGGGCAGGTCCACACAGCAAGGAATTGTCCAGTCCCAAATGCTTAAGCTCTGACAACCCCTGGGGAGTGACTGTGAGATGGGGCCTACCACAACTGAAATAAGTTTTAAAACTAGTTATTTTGCTCTCTTAAAAACATTATTTATTGTACATGAAACGTCCTTTGCCAGTCATTCCCTTTTGGAAAAAAAAAATTATGAATATAAACAAATGATTTACTAGAGCAGTTAAAAATGTACGTACAGATCAACTTTGAACAACATGGGATTGGACTGCATGGGTCCACTTATATGCGGAATTCTCCCCAACCCCCCAATAAATACAACTGTCCTTGGTACTTCTGCTTTTGAATCCACGAATTCAGCCTACCATGAATTTCCAATCCATGGTTGGGAATCCACATATGTAGGGACCAACTATGCATTGTTCTATGCCATCTATAATAATAAAAGCTTAATATGCTAATTAGACCGGACAGCCGAACCATCTTCCAGACATCATTCTGACTGTCCTCCTGGATGAAGCCAAAGCAGTGGGGGCCGAGGCAGAGGTGGTTAAGGACGATCAGGCAGGCAGGTGAGTGATTAGGGGCGATCAGGCAGGCAGGCAGGCAGGCAGAGTGGTTAGGGGCAATGAGGTAGGCAGGAAGAATGGTTGGGGCGATGAGGCAGGCAGACAGAGTGGTTAGGGGCAATCAGGCAGGCGAGCGGTAAGGAGCCAGCAGTCTTGGATTGCAAGAGGGATGTTCGACTGCCAGTTTAGGACTGATCCCAGAGAGATCTCTGTGGCATCAGTCCTAAACTGGCAGTCGGACATCCCCCGAGGGGTCCCAGATTGTGAGAGGGTGCAGGCCGGGCTGAGGGAATCTACCCCCCCCCCCCCCCCCCCGTGTATGAATTTTGTACACTGGGCCTCTAGTTTTGTATAAGGAGCTTGAACATCTGTGGATTTTGATATCTTTGGGCAGTCCTGGAACAAGTCCCTCCAAGATACTATGCTAATTAATTTAGTTAAGTTTTTGGGGCAGGGGCAGAAGTTACAGATTTTCAACTGCAAGGGCATCAGCACCCCTATCCCCCACATTGTTCAAGAGTCCACTGAATATTCTTTGTCCTCTAGTAGCTGTTCTAACAGCAAAAGTGGGGGTTTGCTGTATCTACTGGAAGTTTATGAAGTGAAGAGTCAGCTGTTGGTCTAGTGCCGTGGTTGACAAACTGCGGCTCTCGAGCCACATGCAGCTCTTTGGCCCTTTGAGTGTGGCTCTTCCACAAAATACCACGGCCTGGCGAGTCTCTTGAAGAAGTGACGTTAGAAGAAGTTTAAGTTTAAAAAATTTGGATCTCAAAAGAAACTTCAGGTTGTACTGACTGTTGATATTTGGCTCTGTTGACTAATGAGTTTGCCAACCAATAGTCTAATGCAGTATGTTAAGTTGGCAATATGATTTTTTCCCTTAAAACATTTGTTTTACTCTTCAATCTAGTACATTTAAATGTACTTCCAGCATAGGAAGTTTATTTAGGAAGTCAAAGAGGTAGAAGAAGTGAGATAACTGGGTTGTGTGGATCAGGAAACAACTTATAGAGGCAACAGAAAGGCCTTGGAGCTTAGGAGGAAGAAAGCAAAGGTACATACCTGAGGGAAAGAAGGAGGGGGCAGGCTCAGGCATGCTCCAGAGAGAGAGCATACTAGGTTCTTTGTCTTAAGGGTTTGTGTCTGTTTTCTAAAGGTGGGCATTCTAGGGGAGTTCTCAGGGAGGATCTCAGTAGAATATTTATCAGCTTTCCAGTCGTGTCCTTTCAGGATCTGGTCTCTAGGGTCAGTGCTTGGGTAGAGGTTCATTAGTCATTGCATTTGGTCCAAATGTCAGTCATGGCATAGCTTCATCTGGTTTTGCTGCTTTTCTGGGCCTGTAGCTGAAACACAACTGAGGCCTAGGTATTATCTCTAGTTTGACCAAAACTCTGTCTACGCGGTCAGCAGACCCAAGGCTTTGCTGCTAAGATTATTGAGACAATCAGAATTTCACTACCCCGAGGACTTAATGCTTAACGGAGTGGTCGTGCCAGGGAGGAGGACACAGGTGGGTTAGGATGCTGGATGAGGCCAGTTTGAATCACCCATCTGTCTCAGTTTCCCCATTCCACTTGCCAAGGAATTTTCCTAGCTTCTTGCTATCTTGCCTCATACCCATCTTTTCAGTCATCCTCTTCTATAGATTCAGATGCCAAAAGAGAAGCCTGAGGAGTTAGGCTAGAATGGGACTCAAGGTTAGAGGAAAGAGAAGGGGTTTTGGAATCAGTCAGATGTAAGGAAAAATTCCAGTTCTAATATGGTATGATAGGTGACCCTAACTAAGCAAGTTGCTAAATCTCTTTGACTTAATATCTTCATTTGTAAAATGAGGATGGTAACACCTACTTTTAGGATTATTTTGAAGATTAGAGTTTCTCTGTGTCATGGAGTAGACCCTTCATAAATGAATACTATATCAGTAGTCATGATGATGATGATGATGAAGTTGAAGAAGAATTTAGTAGCTACTGAACATTTTGTGACTAGAACATATGACATGTGGACATGCTGCATACTACTGCAAGGACTAGTCGGCAAGACCAGGTCAGGAGGGGATATTTCTGGGCAATAAATATCAACAGGTGTTTAGAGTCTATTTTCCCTTGAATCAGCTGTAACATGTACTGTTTGCTCTAGTCCTCTACGCTGTAGAACTAAGTTATGCTGCAGACTAAGATTTGTGAGGACCAGCTTGAGGACAGAATTCTTCCCTTGAGTGTTGAGCACAGGCTTTGGATGTGGCAGAGGCTCAATAAACAAAGTCTGTTGTCTGTGCTTATCACATGACCCTGGTAAGTGGTGAAAGTTGCTGGTACTTACGAATACTCTCATTTTCACGCTGATTATTTCTAAAGTCAGTATCCTTCCCCTCAGTTTACACATGAATTTTATTCCAAAGGTAAATTGGAACTTGGAAACTCGAGTTTAAATTTAAATAGTTTAAATTATGATTATGTGTTTAGTTGCCTTTCAAAAGGCCTGTTTAACCCTATGTAATTTGTTCAGTTGCCTTTCAAAAGGCCTGTTTAACCCTATGTATTGGGTCTAGTAATAATTAATGTCGTTTTTAAACATTCGTTTAAAATCTTGCTTGGCGTTGACTTGTATTGACATAACCTTCAAACACGTGGTATCTACAGAACGTGTGAAGTGCAATTAACAAGTTCTGCTTGAAAAAGTTTGTGTTTGGTTTGGTTTTTGTTGCAAAACTAGGGCTAAGAAGATGGCGGATGAAGAGCATATTCGGCACTGCATGCTTTTTGAGTTCCAATTAGGAAGAAAAGCAAGTGAGGCTGCAAAAAACATCTGTAGTGCTCTTGGTCAAGATGCAGTTAGCGCCAGAAAATGCCAGCGTTGGTTTGAGAAATTTCGCGAAGGAAATTTTTCGTTAGATGACAAGAGTGGTCGAGGCCGTGTGTCCAATTTTGATCAAGAAGCTCTTCAAGCTCTTTTGGTGCAAAATCCTCAAATTACCCAACAAGAGCTTGCGACAACTTTAAATTGTTCACAAAAAACAATTTCCAATCAATTGCGTGCACTTGGCAAAGTCCAAAAGTTTGGAAAATGGGTTCCTCATGAGTTGACTGACAACAACCGTAATCAAAGAGACACAATTTGCAGTTCGCTCCTCTCTCGTCAAAAACGTTTGCCGTTTTTAGAGCAAATTGTTACCGGAGATGAAGAATGGGTGCTGTATGTTAATTTGAAAAGGCGGCCTCAATGGTTGGACAAAAATGAGGCTCCGCAGCCCACGCCAAAACCTGACTTGCATGCGAAAAAAGTGATGTTGTGTGTTTGGTGGAATTTTAAAGGAATTCTTCATTATGAACTTTTACCATCTAACCAAACCATTACAAGTGCAGTGTATAGTGCCCAATTGGAAAAGTTAGCCCAAGCTTTAAGAGAAAAAGAACCCGCGCTGATTAATCGGAAGGGCGTAATTCTTCACCACGATAACACACGACCGCATACTGCAAGAATCACTGCTGAAAAACTGTGCCAGTTGGAATGGGAAGTTCTCCCTCAACCTGCACATTCTCCTGATATTGCCCCTTCCGATTACCATTTGTTTCGTTCTTTGCAAAACTTTCTTCTTGGAAAAAAATTTAATAATGAAGAATGCCTCAAAAATGCATTGACCGAATTTTTTGCATCAAAATCACAAGAATTTTACAACAGAGGGATTAAAATGCTTCCTGAGCGTTGGGCACAAGTAGTAGAAAACAACGGCAACTATATTGTTGATTAAATTTTGTTGTATTGTTTAAATAAATTCGATTTAAAAAAAGTATTAGAAAACGACATTAATTATTACTAGACCTAATAGTTTGATTCAAAAGGAGTTAATCCAGCCCTAAATGGCTTATCTCAGTGGTCAAAGCATCGGCCCACAGACTAAAGGGTCACAGGTTCGGTCCCGTCAAAGATACGTACCTCGGTTGTATGCTCAATCCCTGTCCCCAGTTGGGACAAATGCGGGAGGCAACCAGTTATTGTGTCTCTCTCACATTGATGCTTCTCTCTCTGTCTCTCCCCACCCCTTCCACTGTCTCCAAAAATCAATGGAAAAAAATATCCTCAGTTGAGGATAAACAAATAAACAAGCAAAAAGAGTTAACCCAATTTCATTAAACAAAAATGAATATGTAGAGCTCCCACTGTGGGCTAGGCAGGCACCTTTCTGGGTATATAGACACACTGGAGACTTGGTAGTGAATAAGACCCATATAAAAAGTTTATAACCCATAAAGCAGCTATATATATTATTATAAGGTAGCTACTTAAGTGTCACCCTAACCTTTTAAATAAACTGCTTTGAGACTCAAAGGAAACATCATTTATGTGCTGACTTCTGATCATGCCCAGAATATATTATTGTTGGATGGAATAAAAGTAAGTTATAAAAATTGTATAGTATTTTCCCATTAAAAAATATAGAAAACACAGAAGAATATGCAATACTTTGAGAAGCTGAGTACCATGGTTAAGATGAGGGTTTGGAGCCAGATGGCATGGATTTGAATTCCAGCTCACCCTCTTATTAGGGGTATAAACTTGGTTAAGTCACTTACCATCTTTTTTGCCTCACCTGTAAAATGGATATAATAATTGTACTTACCTTTTAGGTTATTGTGAGAGTTATATGAGTGACCATATGTCGGGTGCTTAGAGCAGTTCATAGAAAGCCTCAAGTGTTGTCTTAAATATAAAGGAAAGATAACTTTGATTAGAGTGAACAAATACACTGATTGTAAGCAAAGATCTAGGTTTTAGGAGTCAGGATCTATGTGGATAAAACTCATTAGAATCTAGCTTCTTCGTTAGAATCTAGGTCATTCTTCATTTTCTTAGTTTCCTTCCTTCTGCTTCCTCCTCCAGCTTTCTCACCAAAGCTCCCATGCTTGCAAGAAAGGTGGATTGGTTCCTGGCAGGGGTGGGACAAGCTGTGGCTCTGGAGGGAAAGGTCAGGTCTAGTTTCTGTGCTTGGTGTGTGTGTAGGTGACTGAGTGGTGGTCTGCTTTTGTTAAGACACCTTTGTGCAGAAATTCAAATATATAAACATTAAACTTTAAGATGTGTCATTTTGTTCCCCACTGAAGGTTGCCCTTTTGAACAGGTCACATTTTATTGTGAACAGTTCAAGATTTTCAGTCAGAATGTATTCATTTTCTGTCAAATATAAGTTAGTGAATTTTTTGTAAAGTATAAATATTCAAGTAGGAGAAATAGATTTGATCTTCCAGATTCTAATGGAAGTATTCCATATAACATTTTCTCTGATGTGGAGCAAGCTGTCATTATTATTTTAATTTTAAGTCTCTTACATTATATATTCTATGCTAGTTAAGTATTGTACTTTATAAAAAAATTACTTAATTCATATAAAAATGTCTTTTAAACCTTTTTTATTCAGTAAATAATTTAAATAAATACATAATATTGTTATTTCATTGTTTGTCCTTTTACATTAATTGCTGTTGAAATCAGGACAATTATATAATTATTTATTAGATCATAATAATTTTTTTTCTCTTGCAGGATTTCTGGTAGGTCCTATTTCAGGGCAAGATGTGGTTCTGTTGAAACTCCAATCTGCTTTGATTCACAGACAATTCGTTTCAGCTGGGAAGTTTTTTTTTTGGTTGTTTTTTTTTTCCTGCTGGCGTACTGAATTTATGAAACCATGGCAGAAGGAGAGACAGAGTCACCTGGGCCCAAAAAGCATGGTCCTTACATCTCATCTGTAACCAGCTGGAGTGTAAATTTGATGATTCGAGGAGTGGTGCTGTTTTTCATTGGAGTATTTCTGGCATTAGTGTTAAACTTACTTCAGATTCAGAGGAACGTGACACTTTTCCCACCTGATGTGATTGCAAGCATCTTTTCCTCAGCATGGTGGGTGCCGCCGTGCTGTGGCACGGCCTCAGGTATGTGCAGTATTTCTGTAACGCTTGGGAAGAAAATGGGATGAATGAGTGTGGACTTTGTCTGAGCAATATTTTTTAAAAATTCAACTTTATTGGGGTGTAATCCTATATAATAAAAGGGTAATATGCAAATTGATCCTAATAGCAGAACTACCAAAATGACAGCTGGACCAGTTACTATGAGGCACGCTGATCACTTCTTGGTCCCTTTCTCCAGCCGCAGTCTCTGGTCACGTAATGGCCACCCGAGGAGAGGGAGGGATGGGGGAGGAGGAGGAGTGGGCAGGAACAGCCAACCTCTCGGTCCCTTCCCCCAGTTGTCAGGCACCAATCACCCTATATCAGATGGGGAACCGGGGGTGGGTGGTGGTAGGGGGCACGGCTGGCTGTGAGCAGCTCGGGAAGATGGCCCTGATCATAGGCCAGGCCTAGGGACAGTACCTGTGCATGAATTTCATGCGCCAGGCCTCTAGTTTAAATATAATAAATGTACCCATTTTAAGTGAACAGTGTGGTGAGTTTAGACAAATGCATGCATTCATGTAACTACCAGTTATTTGAATTTGTGGAGAACATTGCCTTTCCCCACACATTCTCTTGTGCCATCTTGGAGTCACTTCCCACCCCCAGCCTCAGGCTTCCACTGATCTTTCCATGACTAGGTTATTTTTGCCTGTTATAAAATGTAAAAGGAATCATCGAGCATATGCACTTTTTGGGTCTGATTTCTATCTATCCTGTGTCTTAAAAATGTCATCTTAAAAACCCTATTCCCTTCAGGATGAGCTTTCAACCTCTTAATTTTTTTCCTATCTCAACCCATCTCATGTAAGTCTTATTTTAGGTTATTTTGATGATGATCACCACTGTTGGTTTGAAGGGTATGTTATTGTTTTTTTTGTTTTTTTTTTTTAAGTAGATAAAAACCTGACAGAATAGTTTTGTTCAAGTTAAAAGCTTCATGTTGTATGTTTTGTTTGGTGGACAGTGTATAATGGATAAAGTGGAGCATTTCAGAAGCCTTAGTGATGGTGCTGATCTGTCATAATGAGTAGCTGTTTAGCTTTTTCTAATGACTAATTCTAATAGATTAATAATATTTTATATAATAAGGTCATGGAAGCCATAATTATGTAATAGAAGGGAATTGTGATGAGGGAGAAAATTGCTTTTTTTGAATGTCTGCTTGGTGTCACATACTTAATATACATGAATACAATGTAATATAAATACTTCTTGACTTTCATCCAAAACTGGAGGTTGAAGGGTACGAAGTTAGGTATAAGGCATTTTGAATGTCCTGGTGAAACTAACTAGACAATTTCATAATTCCATTACATGAGTGGAAGGGTGTTGTCATGGTGAGGCTTATTTGTCTTAATTTATTGACATCTCACTATGACAGCATTCACATAAAAAGAGAAGTTGTAAAGGTGATGGTTCTTCGTTTCCATAGGGTTATTATTATTCTCTGAAAGAATAGGTAAAATAGTTTAAACAAAGAGAAGACAGCATAAATTATATTTCATCATTCTCTGTTGTATCATGTAAAAATTCTGAAAAGAGAAAAAATGTCCCTAACAATTTTTACTAATTCTTTGTTATTTTCTACTATCATGGAACTGCTGTCTGGCCACCAACAGAAGCTTTTGGTGACTTGGAAGAACATGACTTTTAGGAATAGACAAGTGGGAAATCAGAGGAGGGAAATAGTTACTGAATGTCTACTAATGTGCCAGGCACATGCTTCCACCCCAAGGACCAACAGGCCAACTTTGGGAGCGTTGTGCCTATTTTGGGGGGGTGAGGAAGCTGAATGATAAGAGGATGTTAAGGGACCCAGGATTGCAGAACCAGTGACTGGTGCAGCTAGGTCAAATGTCCCAAGCCTCCTCTACTCTGGGTGCCTTTTTCAAAGCCTCCAGCCTCTTCAGTGGGAAGCTTGAGTGGAATGCACTGGTGTGTGTTGCACCTTCTGGCTTGGGCAGGAAAACTTAACTAAGGTTTTATTGTATCTCTGTTATGGAGAACAGGGTGATGGGGCACTTCTGCCACAAACTCACACTTAGGAAGGAAATTTCTAAATGTTAATACTGCATTTCATTCACTTTGTCCCTGCTTTCCTTTCTTTTCCTAGCCAGTAACAAACTCAACATCACACCTTTTCATTTGGGGATTTGCATTTCTTGCTTAATTGTTTCTTCTGAAAACAGTGCATTCTGTGAGGCACCCAGGCAAAAGAAAGCAGAGGCATTAGGAAATGTAGATTTCAGTCACCTCTGCAACTGGTTTTGTTGGGTAAGATATCAGATTTGGAGAAGTTGCCAAAATTGGAAAATGAATTCTTACATAATTGCTGCCTCCTCCTGGCCCCAATTTTAGGAAGAATGTTACGAAAAAGTAAATGATGTAAGAAATATCATGTGTATGACTCTGCATGTGTACGTAGCATGCATGTATTTTGTGTATGTGTTGGTATGCATTTTCAAAGCTCTCTAAGCTCTCCCTATCTTAAATAAAAAAAACAAAAAACAAACCTGATTATTGTCCTTTGATTTTCCTGTCCAACTAGTATTCACAGAATGAGGGTCTCTGCAATCTCCATTCTTTACATGTAAGCAGAAGGGTCCCTGGTTATTTCTACCTTTCTGTATAACACATAGGGCTGAGAAATTGCTACTAGTGCTTCTGGAGGGCCAACTAGTAGAGAACTCTGGTAAATTGCTTAATAATGATTAGTGTTTAATAATGATTAGGGTTTGGAGTTGATTCACTTCTTTATGTGCGTTAGAATTGGAGTTAGAAAATTCTTCAACATTATTGAGGATCATAGAGGAATCTTTTTGAATAATAACTAGAAAAAAGACAACTATAATTATGTGGTTAAAGTAAGTAGAGAAGTTGACTCAAAAATCACAAGTTACCTGATTGTGTTCATACTGATGAAACTAATTGTTTAATTTAAAAAGAAAAAAAACATATCTTTCCTGTTTAGTCATGCAGTCAGTTGCCCAATTTCTGGAGAATCCTGCAAGTCTCCTGCCTCTCTCTCTTAACTGGCACATCCAGTTTCCAAGTTTTATATCTTTCCTCTCTCTTTTGGGCGAAGCCTTCAACCACTCTGCTTGGCATTTTCAGGTCTTTTCTTTTTCTGTATCTAATTTTGTATCATCCCTCAGTCCCTCCTGGATACAGGTGTGATGACATTATTTTCCTGGTTCCCCATATCTGCAGGGTAAAGACTTATGATATGGCCCTTATTACTTTTACCTTCCTCAGAGCCTTTCTGGATGCTGGGCTCCCTTTCTGCCTAACCTCTATAGTTTGCAGGTGATACTTGTGTTTTCAAATGCTTTGGTTAGAAAGCTGTTTTCACACCATTTACCTGCAAAATGCTATTGCCTCAAGGATCACCTCTTCTGTGAAGCTTTCCTGCCACCCTAGCATTCCTGACACCTCTCCTCCTCTCAGCACATGCCAGGAGAAGACTGAGACCTCACTGGCCCTATTAGTGCTATCCCTAAACACATTACTGTGTTTAATTGTTGCTTTGGTTACTTTGGGAATGTGGTCATATCTTAATGTGTTTTTTTTTCTTCTTTTTCTTTTCTTTTTAAAATTTAAATCTTTATTGTTGAGCATATTACAGATGTCCCCTCTACCCCTCATTGCCCCTCCTTCAGCCAGTTCCTGCCCGGTCCCAGGCCATCACCATCCTATTTTCTGTGTCCATAGGTAATGCTTATATGCATATAAGATCTTTGCTTACTTTCTTCCTGCCCTCCCCACCCCCCTTCCCTCTGAGATTCCTCAGTCTGTTCCATGTTTCCATGCCTCTAATTCTACTTATTCGTTTATTTTGTTCATTAGATTTCTTGTTTGTTTATTTTAATTTTTAGATTAATTGTTGATAGTTACGCATTTATTACCATTTTATTGTTCATATTTTAAGAAATCTATTTCTTCTTATTCTTTTTCCTCTTCTTAAAAAATACCCTTCAACATTTCATGTAATACTGGTTTGATGGTGTGAACTCATTTAGTTTTTCTGGTCTGTGAAGCTCTTTATCTGACCTTTAATTCTAAATGATAGCATTACTAGGTAGATTATTCTTGGTTGTAGGTCCTTGCTATTCATCACTTTGAGTATTTCTTGCTACTCCCTTCTGACTTGCAAAGTTTCTGTAAGTAGTCAGCTGACAGTTGTGTGGGCACTCCCTTATAGATAACTAATTGCTTTTCTCTTGCTGCTTTTAAGAGTCTCTCTCTTTGTCTTTAACTTTCAGCAATTTAATTATGATTTGTGTTGGTGTTTCTCTTTGGGTCCCTCTTGTTTAGGACTCTTTGCACTTCTTGGACTTGTAAGTTTATTTCTTTCACCAGGCAGAGGAAATTTTTGGTTGTTATTTTTTCAAATAGGTTTTCAATATCTTCCTCTCTCTTTTCCTTCTGACACCCTCATGATGCAAATGTTGTTAAGTTCAAAGTTGTCCCAGAGGCTCCTTACACTATCTTCATATTTTTGGATTCTTTCTTTCTTCTTTTTTTTTTTTTTGCTCTTCTGATTGGATATTTTTTTCCTTCATATTCCAAATTGTTAATTTGCTTTTCAGAATCCTTATTTCTATTGTTGAATCCCTATGAAAGAATTCTTTATTTCAGTAAATGTATGCTTAATTTCTGTTTCATTCTTTTTCATGTCTTTGACATTCTCACTAAGATCCTTGAAAGTCTCACTAAGTCCCTTGATGTTCTCATTATTCTCTTGAAGCTCTCATTAAGTCTTTTGAAGCTCTTATTAAGATCCTTGAGTAACCTTGTAACCATTGTTTTGAACTCTGTATTCAATAGTTTACTTGCTTCCATTTCTTTCATTTGTAACATGTTTCTTTGTCTCCACATTTTGGCTGCTTTCCTGTATTTGTTTCTATATATTAGGTAGAGCTGTTATGTTTTCTGGAATTGGTAGAGAGGCCTTGTGTATTAGTGTCCTGTAGGGCCCAGTGGCTCAGTCTCCCCAGTTACCTGAGCTGGGCTGTGTGGGCTGTGTGCACAGACTTGTAGTTTAACCTTGTTTGCTATTGGCTTACTGGGAGGAATTGACCCTCAGGCCAAGTTGCTGTGCAGGAGACAGCCCTGTGGAGCAGGACTTGCTCTAGTATGGCTTTGATGCCCACTGAGTCTGCCCCTTGAGTGTGTTGCTTGTGAATGTGTAGAGTTGTAGCCTGGTATGGTCTGAAGCTATCCACCGGTGGCACTGGCTTAGGGGCCTCCTGGGAGGTGCAAAGCCAGCCAATACCTGGGGCCACTCACCAGGAGCTATGAGAGCTCTACAGACGGGTGCTACTTGTATTGGGCTAGGAAGTGCCCAGGTGAGGCTTGGCTGTGAATCAAGGCAGGCTGGTGCTGGAGCCAAGTATTGGGCCTTTTATTGGTTGGTTTGAGACATGTTGACTCCAGCTGCTGCTTGTTTAAGAGATTTTAGCAAAGTCTGAAGCCTGTGCTAGGACAGGCCATTCATATAACAAAGCAGCTACAAACAGCTTGGGTGAGGCTGTAAATTGGATGGGGCAGCATCTTAGGGAATCACCAGGGCAGAGGGAACAGTGTGGGTCATACTGATGGAAACTCAGATGTGGCTGCTAGTCAGCTCTGCAACAGGGAGCTCCCAGCATAGTAACAATGACCCCTGTAAGCACCCCTGTCTGGGAGAAAGCCATCCTGAGTTCCTCCTCCTATACCAGGCAGTCTAGTTCTTCCCCGGATGTCCTTGGATTCCCCCCAATGCTGCCATCTGGCACTGGAGCTCAGAGGAAGTGAGACCATGTAAGTTTGTGTGTGGGCCCTTTAAGAGGAGCACCTGTGACTCCAGCAGCCTCCATGTCACTCAGCCACCATGTCACTCAGCCACCATCCCCACTGGTTTTTATAGCTCAAAGTTATGGGACTTCTCTTCCTAGCTGTGGAACCCTGGGATGGGGGTCTGGTTTGTGGCTGGGACCCCCTGCTTCTTATGGGAGGCCTTAGAGATATCCCTCCCATGAAAAAACTCCACATATAGGTGTCAGACCAGCCTAGTCCATGCCTTTGCCCCTCCTACCAGTCTCAATGTGCTTTCTTCACTTCTCTAGTTGCAGGACTTCCATTCAGCCATGTTTCAGGCAGTTCTGAGTGATGATTGTACTGCATTTTAGTTGTAATTTTGATGTAGTTATGGGAGGCGGAGAGTACAGGTGTTTGTGTACACTGCCATCTTGGTTCTCCTCTTTTTTCTTTTCTTTTTAAATCCCCAGCAAATACCAAGAACCAGATTCAGTGTAGGAGCTTATTTGTTCCATGAAAACATTGCCTATCCTATAATCATTTTCCATGAAAGTATATCAGTGGTTTTCTTTTTTTTTTTTTAGCCCCATTTCTTTGAAAAATGTCTGATTTAACTATTCCTTTTAATGTATCACTGCATTAAACACATTACCATGTAAAAGTGATGATAATATTGGTGTTTTACAAACTCTTTTTGTTTATAGTCTTGATAGGCTATAACTAGTCACTGGGAAATAAATATATAGACATACATTGGAGATTTGCAGGTTTGGTTCCAAATTACCAAAATAAAGCAAATATTGCAATAAAGCAAGTTACATCAATTTTTGGGTTTCCCAGTCCATATAAAAGTTATGTTTATGTTATACATTACTCTATTAAGTGTGTAACAGCATTATATCTACAATAACAATATACATACCTTAATTAAAATGCTTTATTACTAAAAAATGCTAAACATCATTTTTGCTTGAGGTGAGTTATAATCTTTTTTCTGCTGGTGGAGGGTCTTACCTTCAATGGGAAAAAAAAAATCTCCAAAGCTCAATAAAGCAAAGTCCAATACAATGAGGCATCCTGCTATCTCAAGAAATAGGGTTTGCATTAGAGAACCATCTGGTTAACCAGGACTTGTTTGCCTATGATTTTACATAATCATATTTATAAAATAGTTTTTGTTGAAATAAGAAAGTAGAGAAAGAGGGAAAGAAGACCAGATGTACCTTTGCAGAGCTCTTACACAGTGAGGTTCACTGTGCTGTAGCCATTGCTATCAGACTCTGCCATGCCTTTATTTAAAGGGAAGAAAGAAGATATGTAATGGGAAGTGACAAGCTTCCCTGAATTCTCCCTCTCAGTGAGCAATGGAAAACCATGCATACTCAATGGATTTGATTTGTACTGCCAGGTCCCAAGGTTGGCAGCATGGTGGTTTAAATTCCTTTTGTGTTTTTGCTCTCTCTCCCCAATTCTCTCTCACTTGTGAATCTGACATCACATGCATAAAAATATAATCTATTTATTAAACTGATAAGAACAGATACTACACTTGATCTTAGCCAAAAGGCCGAGAAGCGATTAATCTATTTATTTATATCTTTGCACTTATATCTGTCTTCTCTGTGTGATAATTCTTTACCTATGGCATCAGTTGCTGAGGAAAATTGACTTGGAATGCCTAATCTTAGTTGATTTTACTTAACAATAGGCAAAGAGAGGAGAAAGAGCAAAAATGAGAGTGAGGAGTAACATCTGAACTGTTAATTTCATGACCCCTTAAGGAAAAAAAGAAGATAATATTCATTTAGATACATTTCAACTCTTAGGCATACTTACTGCCATTTTAAATTTGTAAAAACTTGAAAATGCTGTCAATTTGAAAATATTATAGGATTTTATAGCCTAGCCTTTTAAATAAGAATATATAGTAAGTTCTCATTTGAAGTCCTCATAAGTTCTGCAACTTTAATTGAATGACAGACAACAAATTCAGTCTATCATAGGCTAATTGATGTAAACAAGAGTTTAAGCTTCTATAATGTTACAGTGAAATGGCAGTGAATGAAGTGACAGTATTCAAGGCCCAGTTATAATATAAAACCTTTAAATTTACTAGAAGTTTTTGCACCTCTGCATTACTGAAGTTTGTTGCTAATCTGTTGATGGTCTATGAACCATCTATAATCAGCAAATGTCTAACTCAGTGGTCGGCAAACTCATTAGTCAACAGAGCCAAATATCAACAGTACAACAATAGAAATTTCTTTTGAGAGCCAATTTTTTTTAAACTTAAACTATATAGTAGGTACATAGTTAGGGTACTCCTAAGCTGACCTTTGCTAAAAACTCAAGGAGCCAAAGAGCCACATGTGGATCGCAAGCCGCAGTTTGTCAACCGGTGGCCTACCTCAAAGGGAACCTTTAAGTGTTTTGTGGGTTAGAAAATGCATGCATTATTGCAGCCTTTTCTTCATGCTGCTCTACTGCTCTGCTGGCCTGTGAGTTTTGAAACTAATTGATTTCCATTTTCCTTGAAGATCGAATGCATCTTTTGTGAGGTATAGGTAGCCACAACCAGGCTAGGGAGAGCTTCCAACCCTCGGGGATGGAGATTTTGGTACAACAGTTTCATGCTAAGCCAAAGGTAGTATAAGACATTTTAAACATGCTCTTCAACTGATGGTGACAGTTGTGTCTTTGTTTCCTAGCAAGCACTAGCATTCTGATTTTAGGAAGATTAACAGGAAATAGCTAGTAGTTTTGTTTTTGTAACTTTAATCGGTAGAAATACATTTTCCTTATAATTTGTTAAAGAAAGTTTGGGTTCATTAAAAGTCTTTTTTTTTATGACTAAGCATTTCAAATCTTCAACTAAATGAATAATTAGTTGAGGTTTAACAAGTAAGTTAAAAATTGTGTGAGAATATTTTGATACTCAACTGTGGACATTTTACATATATTTATTAATTACACAGTTAGCAATCAAGGATGTTTTACAAAAGAAGTGTACTAAAATTATATATTTTAGTAGTGAATTTAAAGTTTTGCCAAAAATATGTAATTTTTATGTTTCCTCCATTTTTCTTATGTGCAGAATGAGTCTTATATGTAGATTTCTTTGAGTTATTCTGCTTTGCCAACAAGACCTAGAGTCTCATTAGAGGGCCAGGGTGGAAGGGAGTGTGAGATCAACGGTAGATGCAGCAGACTGAGACAAGAAGCCAGAGGTGACCTATGGAATGGGTCAGCCATAGCCATCAGAATATTGTGTATATGGTGAGCTAGTTGTACGTGGTGACTTCCTATCTTCTCTGAAGATTTGTGGCGTTTAATAGAACGTTTCATGGTAATAATATAGCTTAGAGAGAACATTGCTTAGCTGCCAAATTATTTGATGCTTCTCAGGTCTCAGAAACATTAGTATTAGAAAATTAGCATGAATCTAGTCCATTCTGCTAAATTGTGAATCATAGACTGAAGTAGTGTTTTGTCTATTATATTACAATCATTTATAATGTTTCAGTGGTGGTCTCATTTATTTTTCTTTTGGGAGGTAGGTTTAAAACATCAGCAATTGACATTAAGTAACTTGAAGAGCTTTTTTAAAGAATCTTTCAAATGCTTATGGTGGTTGTAGTGACTCTTAAGTTTCGCCAGTATCACATTGGAGATAACATAATTTTTTCTCTTTTTTTTTGCAGCGGTGATTGGGTTATTATACCCCTGCATTGACAGGCATCTAGGAGAACCACATAAATTTAAAAGAGAGTGGTCCAGTGTAATGCGGTGCGTAGCCGTCTTTGTTGGTATAAATCATGCCAGTGCTGTATCCTTTTTGCCGTAATGAAATGCATAATAACAAAGCAGCTCCCTACAAACCAAAGGTTAAGGCCCCTTGCAACTTCACTGTTGTCAAATTGTGATATGCCCACTGAGTCATAAAAAGAATGTGCTTCGTATTGTCAAAACATCACAGTAGCATCTATATGTGTGGGATTTAGCCTTTCATTTAAGTCCCATTCTTTCCATATAACTTAGAAAATTTTCATGTTTAAAACTTTTACATGTTTTTCTTAAGTTAGGTTACTAAATTACTTACATATAGTTTTGGTAAATCTAGGATTAAAACAGGTAAATTTTCAAAGGATCCCTTTCCTCTTTTTTCATTTAAGGTTTGCCAGTAAAGTCTTGTGGCTTCAGGTGTTGGTTTTTTGTTTTAAATTTCAGGAACCTATAATTTTAAAAAAAGACTGTTATTTATTGGTTTTGATAAACACCAGCAAACCACATAAATGTTCTTAAAGGTGGCATTATAGAAATAATACGGCTTAGATCATGGTCAAAAAGAATGTTTTCCCCCCCGAAGAGATGTGTGTGTGTTTGTGTGTGTGTGTATTCTTTTCTTAGTCCTTACCTGAGGATATGTTTATTGATCTAAAGAGAGGGGAAGGGATGGAGAGAATGAGAAACCTCAATGTGTGAGAGAAATATCGATTGGCTGCCTCCCATGCATTCCTAGACCAGGGATCAAGCCCACAGTTTAGGTATGTGATCTAACTGGAATTGAACCTACAACCTTTTGGTGTATGGGATGACACTCCAACCAATTGAGCCACCCAGCCAGGCCAGGGATATATTTTTACAATTTGATTATTTAAGAATTCTGACATTTCATTTAGTGATTAATGATCATTTTATAATGTCCTAGCTAGAAGGACAAATAGCTTCTACTAGATGTACCAGTTAATAATGCGGAATTTTTTCAATAGATGGAGTTACACATATGTTGATATATATGCTATTTGATACGTATGCTATTTTGTTGTATTGACAACAAGCTTCAAAACTTCATGTCAAATTTGTTGAAGTTGTTAACATCAGAGATATTTTTATGCTTAAAAATGTCTAATTCCATGCTAAAAAAAGAGCATTTGCAGGAAGTTTTAATTCATTACTTTATTTTGAAGAAAAAGTTATCGTATATATACTTCAGCTTATGGTGAACATGCTCTATCTCAAAATACTTCTGAATGCTGGTTTAAATGCTTTAAAAGTGATGATTTCCATGTGAAAGACAAAGAATGTACAGGTCAACCGAAAAAGTTTGGAGACCAACAATTACAAGCATTAAAATGGGTGCCACATCAACTGAAGAAAAGACAAATGGAAAGCCAAAAAGTCATCAGTTAAATGTTGCTTCAGCAACATGAAAGAAAGTCTTTTTTTGCATTGAATTGTGACTGGCGATGAAAAGTGGATTTATTTTGCCGAGACCCGTTTGGCTCAATGGATAGAGCGTCGGCTTGGCGGGACTGAAGGGTCCCGGGTTCGATTCCGGTCAAGGGCATGTACCTTGGTTGCGGGCAAATCCCCAGTAGGGGGTGTGCAAGAGGCAGCTGATGGATGACTCTCTTTCATCAATGTTTCTAACTCTCTATCTCTCTCCCTTCCTCTCTGTACAAAATCAATAAAATATATTTAAAAAAAGAAAAAAAAAGTGGATTTATTTTGAGAATTCCAAATGCACAGAATCATGGGTTGATCCAGGTCAACCACCAACATTGACTGCAAGGCCAAATTGCTTTGGAAAGAAGACAATGCTCTGCGTTTGGTGGGATCAGGAAGATGTGGTGTATTATGAGCTTCTAAAACCAGGTGAAACCATTACTACTGATCACTATCCACAGCAAATAATCAATTTGAACCATGCTTTGATTGTGAAATGACCAGAATGTACTAGAAGACATGGAAAAGTAATTTTGCTTTATGATGACGCACCATCACACACTTCAAAACCAGTTAAAGACACGTTAAAAGATCTTGCCTGGAAAGTATTAACCCACCTGCTATATTCACCAGACCTTGCTCTTTCAGATGACCACTTGTTTGATCGATGGCATGTGCACTTTCTGAGCAGCACTTCAAAATGTACAAAGAAGTGGAAAATTGGGTATCTGCATGGTTTGCCTCAAAACAAGAAAAGTTCTACTGGGACAGTATTCACAAATTACCTGAAAGATGGGGAAAATGTGTAGTGAGTGATGGACATTACTTTGAATAAAGCACTTTTGATGTTTCTCTTGAAATTATCTTTTTTTCTTTGATTACAAAATCCACATTATTAACCGGTACACTTATCAATAGTATTTCCCTTTTTCCCTTCTACCACTCAGAAAAAAATGTCTACCCCCAGAGAAAAAGTTTTTGCCCTCTTAAGGCTTTCATTCTGTCATCCTCCCTCCTTTCTTCTGCCTACCCCAACTTCCCTTTGTAGAAGAGGGTCTGGGAAATGCTAGTGGAGTCTTCCTCTTTTAGAAGATGTTGCTTGCAGGATGGTTGTGGTGGAGCCTGTGGTATTGGGAAGAGCGGGGAGTGTGGCTCACGCTGCCCACCATTTCCTCTGGTAACTGCATTGGGCTTAGGGCTGGTAGTTGTTTGGAGAGAGGGTGGTCATGTGGCAGTGAGATTGCTATGCCATTTGCAGAAAGTATTGAGGTGTTTTGGAGAAGCTTGGGAAGAGGAACCAAGAAAAGAGCAGGGTCCTCTAAACTAAAAACACATTGCACCTGCCTTTCTGTTCCCAGTGTTCTGGCCCTTGGAGATCTGTGAGTTTGGAAGGCTGTCAGTGGGCTGTTATATTATATTGGTTTTCCATTTCCTTTTGTATTAAAAAATTTCCCAACATTTTTTGTTTGGGGAAAATTTTTGACATTTAAGATTTTATAGCAAACAAACCCAATGATTAGGAGGGTTTAAAAAGATAGACTCATGGAATATTGTATCTAGAAGAAAACTTAGAAATTACCTAGTTTCACATTTTCTGTATTAAGATAACACAAGTGAAAGCTGGCGAGGTTAGATGCTGTGCCAAGTCTTCCATACTCTAAGTCTGTCCTACAGCTGAGACCAGGCCCCAGAGATCCTGACTCCAATCTGGGGATGCTCATTCTATCAGCATCTCCACAAGTGTGTAAATGCTCTGTATATGGTGGACTAAACCTTTTCATCTCAGTTCAACTACTTTTAAGTTGAGAAATTTAAATAGCCTTTTCCTAGAATTTAAAAACGTATATATATCTAATTTAAATTTTTTGCTTTGGTCTTTCTCTCTCAATCAAATACTTAAATATGGCAGTCTTAGGTGGACCTCCTTTAAGCACATATTTATAGCATAGACTTAAATTAATTTGACTTCATAAAATCACATGGTACTGTTATTAAGGTTGATGTTTTACCTGTTTACCATAGAAGCCTCCTTACTTTGTTTTGGTTCTTAATGAAGTTTAAAACTTAGTTAGCAAGACAGAACTCAGTTAATGTCAAAGTCTACTCTTCACAAGAATGTTTTTGCATAGAGAAGTCAGAGCTCACAAGCTTCCTTCATGGAGTTTGAGGTATTAAGACTGCTAAAGAATAAGCAAAACTTTTTCAGAAAGCATACGCTACTCGAGGTTTCTTGATAAATCTAGCCTCAACAGGAAGTGACCTCGAAGGAGAGGCCTCTAACAGCTGAGAAGTAAGCACACTGTGCTCAGGATACCAGCTGGTTGGATGGGGGAGTGGGGGAGGGGGGGTAAATAGCAGGGTGTTAAAGGGAATAGGAAATGGTTTCAGATCGTCTTTTGAACTTCTGCTTTCTTCTCTCCAGTTGCTTGCATGGCGAGTTTGGTGAGATATGTAGTCTCCTCTGGAGAGCTGGATATAGAGCCAGGATGTGGCCTTTGGGACATAGATAATGTCCTTTTAATAATACTTGAAATTCATTCCTTAAAGTTTAGTGTAATCCTCTAGCAAAGAAATGGGAAAATTGAATGTGTAAAGCTGCGTTTTGCTCAGAGATTTTAGAATAGAAAAGGGCTGTACATTTGTGAATTGATGCTTAAGTAGGTGATGGAAATAAAATATCATTTGTGCTAACTGTCCTATACCAGAATGTCTCGGGCACCAAAATAGCTTGGCAGGTTGCAAGATAATATTCACTTCAAGGCTTTATCCTCAACAAATTAAAACTAGAACAGTTGACATAATAGAAAGGGATACTGTGTCCTTGGTACTCTTGTTTCTGAACTGCATTATTATAAAATGTGTCTGCCAGTAAATCATGCAGAGAATGTGCACCCTGTTAAATAGCTGTCAGCTCTTCTATTTTCGAGTTCCTGTATGACTCTCAACTAACTCTCAACCTGTTTGAGAAGTAATATTGGTTTTCTTTTTATTAAAAGTGTGTTTCTGTAGTAAATCTTGTGTTCTGAGGCTTCCCATTAACATTTTTAGCAAAGAAAGCAGTTCTCATTTAAAGAGTCCGATCTTATAATTGGTAATGTATATAAAGTGTTTGTTTGTTTGTTTGTTTGTTTTTAGGAATTACAGGTTGGTAGTATTAATTGAAATATTATGCCTTCTATGTGTCTTTAGTAAATAACAGAGATAATTTTAATCCCATCTAATCTCATCCATTGTATTAAAAGACTGAATGCACTGCAGAATAAGCAATTCCCTTTTTAATAGTAGCACATCTGATTTTAGAAAAATGAACAGATGTATTATTTGTTATAAGTTTTAAGATGATTCTTTAACACTGATCTCAGAAAGTGGACTTTGATAACAACATACAGTTGTCTCTCACACTGGCTGCTCTCTCCATTGGACTGTGGTGGACTTTTGATAGATCTCGAACTGGTTTTGGCCTCGGAGTAGGAATTGCTTTCTTGGCAACCTTGGTCACTCAACTGCTCGTCTATAATGGTGTTTATCAGTAAGTGTTCTTTTTGGTGCTTGTTTGCTAAAATAGATAAATGACAACTGAATTCAGATTGAGATTTAAAATTGGGTTAGCCATGTTAATCTGAAGAGCAATTTATTTCTATTATAATTATTTAAATAAGTATTGTACCATTAAAAACATTTCTATTATTTTAGATATACTTCTCCAGATTTTCTCTATGTTCGCTCTTGGTTACCATGTATATTTTTTGCTGGAGGCATAACAATGGGAAATATTGGTCGACAACTGGCAATGGTAAGCTCCTGCTTATTTAATCACTTTTGTGTTATTGAGATGTAAGATAAGTTTTCTCCAAATGACATTCCTTTTTTAAGGGAAAGCAATTTGTGAAGACAGCATTCTTTGATTTCTCTCTGTGATGCCATTGAAATAAATCATTTGGAAGAATTTAATCATAAGAATATTAAAAGTTGAAGCAAAGATGGATAGGAAAGCTAAAATGTGTTATGGTGATCTGATTTATCTTCCACCCTTTTTGTAAATTAATTTGTAGGTTTCTGCTCTTCAAAAAGGAACACTTTTAACAGTGAAAAGAGGTTTTATTAATAATGACATTGCTACAATGACACATTAGAATTAGCTTCAGCAAATCAAGATGTTTGATCATTTTAGTTAAGAAGGGAGGGACATTGTTGATAACCCCAGTCATATGTGGCAAGGGTCCTGGAGTAACATTTATAGACCATACCAGTTTCACCAAATGGTTGCTACTTTAATCAGTAGGAGAATTGAGTGGTTTGTGAAGCTGTCTCTTTGATAATCTACCCAATTATTCTAAGTGCATTGGTTTCCTTTATTTTGAATTGTGAGTGTACATTTTTATAATTGTACTTTTAAAATACTGGTATTGTTTTGACTAGAAGTTTTTGCTAATGTAATATATTTTTCTTTAAATTGTAAAGTGATTTGAAAGAAATATTACCTTAATTCAAAAGTGTCAATCTTATCCTTAAGTTTGTGACCTTTCCTTTGCTGGTTCATCTTATTATACTATGCACTCAAACAAACCTCGTTTGCTTTCTTTCATATTCTAGGACTCATCTAAATCATATACTGTCCTTATTTGCTTGTAATAAGAAAACCTCATCTTTCCTCTGCTTTTGGCTGTGCCTCCACTTCTAGAATGTGAAGTTTTCCCCCTATCACATTTGCAATTTAATCCTAATAGTTGTCTAACTCTGAGATTCTTTGAGGAATAAAATGTGCATAGATTAATAAAGAATTAATTTTTAGATTGTTTAAGTTGCTTTTCAAAATAAACCTTTACATTTTAATCTTTTAACTTTTTCAATTTTGCAGTATGAATGCAAAGTGATCGCAGAAAAATCTCATCAGGAATGAAGAGGCAAAAATATATTTTTTGTATAGAAAAACAAGATGAAAAGGGCATGTAAATGATAGATATACCAATGAAACTACGGACTATAAAATTGCCAGGATGCAGTTTTTACTGTGATTGTCATATATATATATGTATATACATGTATATATATACACACACATATATTCCTGCAATCTGTGATTGCTTCCTCTGTAAATCAGCTACAAACCTTGTGTATTTGACTTAAATAATTGTAAGATATATATGCACTACATTAAAAATGTTGATTAATAGATTAAATTTTTAAATTAATTTTTTAAATATACCATATATTGTATCACAATGTTGATGTGCCAAAATATTCTCTTACTGTCATGCAGAGTATAAGAATGCTTTGAACAATTATAAACTTAGTGTAATAAAATAAGAAGAAAGCCAAAAAACAAATGGAAAACTGGTATATTCTCTTCCTCTTACTATTGTTCCTGTTTATTTTTCTAATTACAGCAGTTTGAGTTATGGGCGTCCTAATGTGTAGTTACTTTCTATACAGTGGGACAAAAGTAGGTTTACAGTTGTTCATATGGAAAATAATACAATAATTGATAAATAATAATCTAGGAATAAACTATTTCACATACAACTGTAAACCTACTTTTGCCCAACCCTGTATTTTAATGTCATTTCAGAGAACTTAGGATTTTTTTAATATATAATGAAGATGAACTTCCATAGTACATTTTTCAAACCTGTATTACTGGAGAGAATCCAAAGAGTAATTTTCTGTTTTGGCAGATTTTACTGGCAGTAAAAGTGATGAGCAGAAAAGGCTATCAGAATTAATTTTTTTTCCTCCAAACCTAAGTGTATATGTAATTAAAAGTAAGGCCATTGGGGAATTTACCTAGAATAAATGTACGTTATAGAAATACAAAATGCCACAAAGTGTTGAGTAATATTAACTGTCATTCGCAATATAGAATCCTGCTGCTTTTGCACATGGAACACCTAAGAAATCCCAAACAGATCTAAATGAAGTTTCTTATTCTTTTGGGTTCATTCTTAGGTTCCATAATCTATTGGGCTGTATAAAATAAACCACTTACTTTGTGCTGGGCCATTGTCAGAGGAATGTCATCTAGGGAATGGATGGGCACATAATTTCCTATCTACTCATATGCCCATTAGTGAATAATTCAAACCTGTTTAAGAATGTATTGAGATGGCATATTATGCATGTTAGAAATCTTGATAACAGTTTTGTGCATATATATATATTTTTTTTAACACAGCTAGCATCATTTAAATATGGCTTGAATATATTTCCCTCAATTTTTAGTTTTGAAATTAATGGCAGTTTTCTGATACACAAGGGTGAATGAAATCTTCTGCTTACTCTGCGTTTGTGTGTGTGCGAATGTGCTGTACTGAGAGAGAGAGAATGTGTGTATGTACATATATGGATGTGCATGTGCCCATGCTCTTTTGACATGTTAACTAGAAATAAAAAAAAAAATGGATATAAAACCATTGCTGTCAGACTGAGATATTATATGCCAAATTTTAATATGCTTTTTACATTTTAAGGCTGAAAGTGTTAAAATCCTAAGAGGATTTGATATTGAATAAATGTAAACAATCTTAACTATAGTGGTGGTTAACATACTACTATAATTTATTATTCTATATTCCAGATAATGTTATTCATTTAGAATAAAAAAAGTATATTTTTAGAATCAACTTTGTAAGCACTATAAATCTTTAATAAGTTATAAGGTCTATTATGTGTTTACTTTGAAAATTGCTGTTAAAAGCAAGATGTATTAAATACATAATTATATTCTCGGTTAAGAGTCTTTTTTTCTTTCTTGTGTTAAGTCATAGAATATAGTACTGAGGATTAATTTAGTAAAATTAAGATGTATGGTTGATTTTACTAAGATATGATGAAAGGAAATTAAGTTTAATTTTACAGTAATTGAATGATGTCATTTTGGTGTTCTTAAATTATTTTCAAATCATCTAGAAAATATGAAAAATATGACAAAAGTAAAATTGATTTGAAATTTTGATAAGTATTTAGATAAATTACATCTTCTTTTTGCAATAAAAGTAAGTAGTAAACATTTTTTAACATTGTTATATTTGCAGTGCTTTCTTTTTTTTCCTGTCATCTACATTTTTATTTAGAGTAATATATGGCAGGATATAAATACATAACAGCATGCCTTTTTTTATTAAGGGTAGGCTTTTGTATAACTAAGATTTGTGGTCAACATTTTATATAACAAAAGAAAAGTAAATCTATAAACTATCAGAAAAGGAAAATAAACATTTAATCTAAATTATAGAGGGCAGTTACAATGAAAAACTATCACTTTTCTAACTCAGGTTTACAAAAAAAAAAAAAAGTTAACCATGATAGTATCACTCCTAACACTGAATATCCAGAACCCAAACTTAAGAAGTTGGCTTGAAAATAGGAGATAATAATGTTCTTGAATCAAAAGCACATGTAGGCAAAAACATAATATTGACAAGTGGTTGCATTATTGGGACTTGTTGTAAGCTAAATACATGTGAAGTCATTCCTGAGAATACAGTGATCTATGGTGTAGACTACCTTTGTCAGGTGCAGACTGAGCAATCACAGCCCTGGGCACTGCAGCTGGATTTCCTGATGAAAATCTTGCCAAACTACCACCACTTACAGAAGACTATGAAAGGACACTCAACTCCAGTTAAGAACAAAGAACAAGCCATGACATCAACATTTTGTCTTTCATCACTATCTTTTGAAAGGGCCAAGTGTTTATGTTCTTTTAGCAGGTCATAACATAATACAGGTTGACTTTATTTTATAAACCTGAGTTAGGAAAGTCATGTTTTTTCATTGTAACTGCCCTCTATAATTTAGATAAAATGTTTATTTTTTTTCTGAAAATTTACAGATTTACTTTTCTTTTGTTATATAAAATGTTAGCCACACATTTTAGTTACACACAAGCCTGCCCTTAATAAGAAAAGGCATATTGTTACGTATTTATATCCTGCATATACTACACTAATCACTGTTGGTCTCGTTCTGCAACGATTTGTACTTTTGGGTGGATTATTGTCTTAGGTCCTATACAACTTTCTACACACAGCTACTCCAAAAGCAATCTCCATCCTGTTTTGAGTCTTCTCCACCTGTTTTTGCCCGGGTCTCCAATTGGAGCTGAGATTGACACAAGCACCTGGGTGAAATGATCTCTACTGCATTGCTTTCTTGCTTTTATTATCTAAAGTTACAGAAATTGAGGAGCTGAACTGGGACTACACAAGAAAACAATTAAAATTAGCCAGAACCCTGCTAACAATATTACCTAATAAAAGAGAAACATGCAAATTAACCATCACTACACCCACAGCCAATCAGAGTGAGTATGCAAATTAACACAACAAAGATTTAGTTTAATTTGCATAAGCTTGCACAGAGTGGTGTGAAGCCTGCTATGATGGCAAAGAGGGCTTGGAGGGAGCTTACTGGAGAAGTCCCTCAGACAGAAGCCAGGACATGCTGACTCTGGGAGGCCCAGGAGTGGGGATGTGCTGGCTCCTGGGGAGAGGGGACTTGCTGGCATATCGTGCAACGGGCCTCTAGTTTCATTATAAAATTTGTTTGCACTGAACTACATTATCATCTTTAAGGTCATTGACATCTTTGAGTGATGGATACATTTCACACATCCAGACTTAGTCAGCATCATTAAATACCTCTCTGGTTTTCTTGGCTCACCTGCATAATGGAGTATATTCTTTGCAAGATAATTCTTTCAGTAATGGTCTTTGAACAGTAGAGTTTTATCTTTGTGTGTCTGAAAAAGTCTATTTCATCCTTGAAGAACAATTTAGCAGGGCATAGAATTCTAGGCTCACAGTTTTCTCCCTACTCCCATCTCCTTGAAGATTATATATATATATATATATATATATATATATATATATATATATATATATATATATTATATTGGTTTCAGAGAGGAAGGGAGAGGGAGAGAGAGAAACATCAATGATGAGAGAGACTCATTGATCGGCTGCCTCCTGCATGCCCTCAACTGGAGATCTAGCCCACAACCCAGGCATGTGCCCTTGACCGGAATTGAACCCAGGACCCTTCAGTCCACAAAGCCAACATTCTATTCACTGAGTCAAACCAACCAGGACTCTGAAGATTTTTAATTCATTGTCTCATCTAATATGACAAGTCTTCTACTGGTGTAATTTCCTTTGTAGATAATCTGTATTTCTCTCCAGGAACTGTTACATGACTTTCTTTTTATCTTCAAGGTTATTTATATTGATTTGTTAAGTTGTAGATTTGTTTTTATTTTTCTTGCTTATTGTTTGGTATGCACTTTCAATCTGTGGGCTCATGTCTTCAGTTTTGGAAGATTCTTAAATGTGATTGCATATTGGAATAATATGGGAACATATAAAATATGCTGATACCTGGCTTCAATCCCCAGAGTCTGATATAATTGGTCTGAAGTGTGCCCTAAGCATTAGGATTTTCTATAATTCCCCAGGTAATTCTAATGTGCACCCAGGTTTCTGATGACTGGTGTAATGCATATAAAATAAGGTGGAGGGTTAGAGAGAGGAGATGAATGGTGACTTTGAAAATGAAGAGTGATGGACACATTCAGTTAAATTTTGGATTAAATCATCTGAACTTAGTGACTAGAGTGTAAAGGTTAAGGAAGAAGAAGTATTAAAGGTAACCTAATTTTTCTTTCTTTCCCAAGAAAGAAAGCCTAAAGAAGTATGCAGACAAGTAGGTGAATGGGTAAAGATAATGAGTTGGATGTATATTGAAGTTGAGATATGGAGGGGACATCTGGGAAAGATGACTCATAAAGAGTGGGATATTTGAGTCAGGGTTGTTGGATATAAATGAGGGCGTCATCAGCATGTGGCAGTAATAAATGAAGCTGTGGGAGTGGAGTTTATGAGGTCACCCAGGGAGCATGTTACAGTGAAAAGAGGAGGTCTGAGGCACACTGGCATGCTGGCAGTGGAACCAGTGGAGGAAATAAAGGGGGTGTGGTCAGAAGTAGGAGGGAGAACAGAAGAATGGTATGGATAAAGCCAAGGCAGGAAGGTGTTTTATGCAAAGCCCAACTGGTAGTATGAAATGCAGTTAGAAGGAATAATTACCTTAGAGAACAGAGGTGAGATCTTATGTTGAAAAATGCTTTTTCTAACCTATTTTATCTTAAGAATTTATTTTCATTGTATACACATAACATACAAAATATATTTCAGAAAAGCCTGATCATATAGTAAGACATTTATTGTAAGTGACAGGAACTGGGGGCAGCTAGAGATCTTGAAAGAATGGTGGAGATTTGAAAAACATCTATGAAGAATGGACACAGGAAATGACTAGAGATGAAGAATTGTTAGACAGTTTTGAGGTCATTGAGGACCCAGGTGAAATTAGAGATCAGATAAATTTGGAACCAATTGGCATGGTTGTGCCCATCTAAGTGGGCTCAGTAGCCCAGAAATTTAAGCAAATTGTGATGAAATAAATTGATTCTAGTTGGGGTTTCACTGGTAGACATGGGACAAGGCTATGTGAAAAATTAATGTTGCATTCCATGATAGATCAAGAGATTTATCATGGGACCCAGGCAAATCAGAGAAGGAAGTTGAATCAGCAGAGCTGACCTGATGGCACAAAAGAACAGGGTGAGGTAAATGGAGGGCAAGTCTTAAGGAGGTTAAAACCCTCTTTAATGGGAGGGTTGACAAGTTTGGAGCTCATAGAGAGGAATTCAGTGCAACATTTCCAGATCTTGAGATCCAGGGTGTGATCTTAACAACCATGTTTACAGAGTTCACTGAAGTGGGTGGAGATGGACAGCAGTGGAGGAGAGAGCCAGGGCCTGGGTGACTGTTAATACTAGTGTCAGTGTTTCTTGGAATGACTCAGGTCAGGTGGAAAGGGAGGGCTTGTCTGTAGTCTCATGACCTGTAAGTGAAATACCCAGATGCTCTGATTGTACAGGCAGACCTTGGAGGTAGTGCGGGATCTGTTCCCGACCACCACAATAAAGCCAGTATGACAAAGTGTGTTACGTGAATATTTTTTCTTTCTCAGTGCATATAAGTTATGTTTACACTACCTTGTAATCTACTACGTGTGCAATAGCATTATGTCTGAAAAGTCAATATAAATGCCTTAATTAAAATATACTTATTGCTTAAAAAATGCTACCCATCATCTGAATTTTCAGCAAATCATAATCCTTTTGTTGGTGGAAGGTCCTGCCTCAGTATGGATGAAAATGCAATATCTGTGAAGCGCCATAAAGTAAAGCTCAATCTAAGGAGGTCGCCTGCATTGATGTTTTAATAAGAGGTTTTTTTTTTAATCCTCCTTTTATTTATTTACTTTTAGTCTTTTAGCCCTGTGCTAGGTGTTCTGAAATTTCATCACGGAAAGTTTAGGAGTGGGTCTTTTTCTATTAATACTGTTCAGTAAAACATCATCTCTTTAATTCTGGGCAATATTTTTATTCCTTTGTTTACTTTCTCTATTTTTTGTTTCTAAAATGCTTGTTTTTGTTTTTTGTTAATCTTCACCAGAGGAATTTTTTTCCATTGATTTTTTTTTCTTCTTTTTTTTTTTAGGGAGAGTGGAAGAGAGGGAAAGACAGAGAGAAACATCCATGTGAGAGAAACACATTGATTTGTTGCCTCCTGCATGAGCCCTGACCAGGGCGAGCCTGCAACCGAGGTACATGCTCTTCACCAGAATCAGACCCGGGACCTTGGTCTGCAGGCTGATGCTCTATCCACTGAGCCAAAATGGCTAGGACTAAAATTTCTTTAAGGGATCTTTGATCTTTTGTTTCTGTTTTCCGTGTATCCCTTACTTTTTCTCTGTTGTGCGACATTCTGGAAGAATTGCTTAAGTGGATCTTCTGGCTCCATGAGTTGCTCTGCAACTGTATCCATCCAGTGTTCAGACCGTCAGTTGAATTTAACTTCAGCCATCACAGTTTTAATTTTCAAGATCTCTTTTGTGTGTGGATAAGTGTGTTGTCATTCTTGTATTTTGTGAGGATATTCATTCTACAGTTCTA